ATTCATGAAGTTCATGAAGATTTGCCCAAGGCTCAGCTAGAAGCGGTGTTCATGCATTCAGATACCATATGACCATATATGACCGATATGACCAGGTCTTTGGGGGCTTTATGATGCTTTATGAGGATTTCAGAGTTTGCTTCCAACCATTCTCCTGTGCAAAAGATTGGCCATGTCCTCCTGAGTGCCTTCTTCGTAGACGTGCCACCTGCATCCACTGCAGGGGGGGAGGTTTGCGACCACCACCCACCGAGCACAGTGCGGCAGGTGGAGCCTCTGATTTGGTGTGACTTTTTGGATCCCAAGGTGGCGTGGTGTGCTGGAACTGGGGAGCTGTCGAATCGAAGAGGGGGAGAACGTGTCCATGACATCCAGAAGAATAAGACCAGGAGTTGCAGGCTACTATAAATTTGGGTGATTTGGGGCTGGAGGCACAGGATCTCTGCCAGGGTGACATTTTTTGGGGGGGAAACAGGCGATCCAGACCTTGCTTGACCCCTTCAAACCTCAGCATTCAGCCTAAAATGAGTGTTTTGGCTCCGCACTAGGAACCCCGTGGGTCTCGCCGAGCCTGCCCGCTGGCGGTGGGCCGATCCCCCTCTCGGCCGTCCTGGCCTTGGCGGACCCTCCTGGGCCCAGCCTCCTCCCTTTGCGCTCAAAAGGAGCGAGAAAAAACAAGTGTTTTGGTAGTTGGGCCTTCTATTGGTGCGATGTATCACTCGAGTCCCACTGTGATATGTGTGTGGAGCTTGTTTAAATAGGGAAGTGCCCGTTCCTTTTCGCTTCGACCGGAGAACCGTTCGATGCCTGACGACCGGAGAACCGGTCGTGATCGACCGGATTACGACCGGTCACCGACCGATCTCGTGGCCAGGCCAACTACTACCAGCAAGTGGAGGATCCTCCTCAGCTTGTAGAGGCACATCGGATGGTCACGAGGTTCCGGCTCTTGACTCGTCATGGCTCTTCGCGATTTCGCCATCCAAACCAGGTAACCAAGGCACTCAGCCGATATCACCCGAGATATGTTTATTTATGCATAAATATAGTCATTTTGTGTCATTATAGTTTTTGTAATTGCTAGCTCACTGTCAGACGTTCGATTCAAGTCCAGCATCTTTGAAGGCATCCATCAATCGGGAGGGTATAGGCAAGAAGTCAAGATCCAGTGTGGCCGGTGGAAGATGGAGGGACCGAAGCTCAGGAGTTGTGGACGTTTTTACCTATCCAACATTTGGTAAGGAGTCCAGGAGCAGATCTGGAGACTCTTGACCATAGCAGTAGAGTAGAGCCTTGCCTTACAACAATTAGGGGGAACTGTTTGACCCCATGGGTTGTGCAATTATCAGTTGACTGGCGACCGGGGGTGCGGGTCGCTCAGCTTGGAGATGCAAACGGGCAGATGGCTGGCCAGAAGGTAGGAGGATCCAAGCAGTGTGGACAACCATGGGGGAACCCAAAACCGGATACATGTGACCATGTGATCGGAGATTTGGACATGCTCCATTATCTACCTACGTAGAATGTTTGTGCCTGCAATATCCGCTTTTGACCACCACCCATGCATCCATTTTCAACTGAATGTTCTTATGCAGCAGGATTCAGAAGCTGGTACACCAGAATGGAAATAGATCGCGAGACACCCATGATCACCCTTGTGTGGCCATCTTGCATCCAGGTGCTGAACAACTTCTTAGTGGAGTACAACACGATGGCCAAGCGAGGGATGGATTTGGTGCTCTTCATGGCGGCTGCGCAGCATGTGAGTCAAGTGGTTTGGAGCCCCAGTGGTCGTGCAGCCGAGCTGTGAGCGAGCTGTGAGCGTGCATGTTTGGTTGTGTTGACACAGGACATGACATGCATTTACCGAGCACCCTGCTCTGCTGCTCTGAAACGGTCGTTGCAGACAGGCCTAGGGCGGAGGGTCGAAGAGCGCGTTTCTTGAAGTATTTTCAGTGTCAGCTCCTTTCACATCTTTCGATATATGGGGCTTGTCTCAACCACCTTGGACCCACAAACCGATGGATGTTCACTCACAAACCCTTCCGGGCCATGTGGGGAACTGCCCCCCAATTTGAGATACACCAATTTCTTAGGGTTGATTAGAGAGGCCCTGGCAGGACTTTGCAGATATGCTGCAACCACACCAAGCCATTATTGTTCATCCACGTTTTGTTTGGTTTCTTTCGCATCCCCCCACAAAGTTTGGACAACACATTGAATATCATTGAATCATGATCATCATGAAACTGTATCATTATATATGTGACTCTGTGGAGGACTTTCTAGATTCTAGGGAGTCAAGTGTGAGTTAAATCATCAAGAATCAAGCCAGTGATCGCGGCCCCATCCTCAAAGAAGTTATAGTCTTTTTCGTGGCTTCAGATGTTCTCAACCCAGCGTGTTTTCCGAAAACAGCACGAGTCACCCAAGTGCGACACCCGGTCGCGACCGAAACTCCCTAGTCAAGAATTTTCGGTCGTTATCCAGAACTCCTACCTGGACCATTTTGGGTAAAGCCTGATTATGTAAAACAGCAGTGGGGGATCTAACAGGCCAAGAGTCGGGGCACTTCTTCAGACTCAAAATCGCCGACCACCGGATAAAGGCGTCTTGATGCACAGGTCCGCGTCTTGAAGACCCCCTTGGGCAATGCGCTGCTCGTCCGCCCGGCTTTGTGTTGATCCCACAGGCGGAGTAGGACTATCAGTTAGTTGGCGCTGGCCTTCTTTTGGGGTTTATCGTTTTGCGGCGAGGGGTCGCAGGGGTCGCAGGGTGCACTATGGTCATGTGAGTTGTGAACCATTTGGGTGTTTGCAGGTGGTGTTTCTCGTGGTGCTGCATTGAAATGGCTCGTTTCACCAATTCGATTAGGCTCGCACCGGGAGTCGTACACCAGGTTCGGCGAAAGCGCGCGCCAGGTGGGTGTTGGTGGAAGTGGGCGCAAGAGCTTAGCCACGCTCGCGGCATTTGTGGCAGAGCAGGACCAAAAAAGAACACATCCATCCGCGGCCACGCGTGGGCCTCCGCGGCCACGCGTGGGTGTTTTGCCCTCTTCGATTCGAGAAGCGAAGCGATTCATCCATGGAACGATTGATTTGAGAGATCACAATGATTCGATCACAACCTTTTCAACGGAATTCTAGTGATCTTCAAGGACTGGGTGATCTTGTGAAGCTCTTGGCCTCCCATCTTGTGCAGGTCACCTTGTCAAAGCTTGCGTTTTAGTTATACCATGTTATACCCTGGATTGATTGATGCCGGCGGATGCTTCAAAGACATGCTTTGTGAGGAAACCTTCCAGATTGAGATCACCAAGAGCTATGGTATGAATGTACGGCTCTTACTCAATGTGTCCGCTGAACAAGCCCTCTGCCCTGCTTGAAGCCACAGGGCTGTTTTGTACCAATTGCAATCCCGCACCCTAAGAAATCCAATTCTTTATAACACCTGTGCAACTTACAGGCTGCAATGTGCTGGAAAAGAAGCTTGCATTGCACACACGCACACACACTCTCCCCGTTTACAACTGCTTCTATGCCGAATCTGGCCACACCTCGTCACTAGTGATCCCAGGATTGGCACGAAGATCTGAAACGATTGCTCATCCGCTGTGGCGGTCAGAACAAGGAGGCCCCTCTTTTTGGAAGACACAACTTTCAGTGGATGAAGTCGCAACTTGTGATGCGGAGGGGGTTGATCTCGGGTGTGATGTGGAGCTGTACAGAGAGCTGAAGCAACGTTTCGGCACTTGAACTTAGGCCCCAGTCATGTGTTCATTGGTGTTCATTGTGGATCATGCTTAACATGCATGTTTTGATACACAGATGTGGCAAGCTTTCAGGGCATTCTTCAAGAGAACGGTATGAAAAGGCCAATCTGGTTCACATGCGATGCTGCAGTCAAGACGCCGGTTCGGGGAGTGCCTCTTTGTGCTGTGTACTTGGAAACTGCCCCAGACCTGATGATGCCAGGAATCATTGGTTTGATCCCCCACGTTTTGGTGCCTTTGGCCCATAAGCACACCCAGATGCGCAGGTTTGCTTTTTGCTGCCGGACACGCAAATCGCCAATGAAAACTTTGTCGAGGAGGCACTTGCGGAGTCAAACTACCTTTAGGACACTTTTCTGAAGGCTTGGCATTCTGTCAGAGACACAACACATTACAATTACAGTATAATAGTATAGATATATAGAAGATATTAGAATATTTTTCGAGCAATGTCATTGCATGTCATTGTCCCAACCTTGTTCTCGCTTTGGACCATTTCAACTCTTGCTCACTGAGGGTCGTCCCGGTCCTTTGTTGGGTGCCTGACCGCAGCCGACCGAAAATATCCATAGCAAGGTGCTGCTTTGTGGCAAACTCGGAGAAAGGTCTCAGTTCCTTTTTTCTGAAAGACCCCCAATCAAGAATCATGACACCTCGAATCACCTCGATAGTGGTGAACCTTTTAATATTGTAGACGAACGACGTGGGTTGACTGGGTTGACCTCGTTCGTCTTGGACACGTTGGCTCGCACGCTACCGGCAGGTGTCGGGGCTTCTGAACACAGGTGAGGTGCCCAACCTCTTCAATGCAGAGGAGCCGGTCCGGTCCGGTCGCGTTTGGGGCTTGGCTCACGTGCAAGGCTCCTTGGGCTCGCAAGGGCAACGGAGCAGGTCAACGAGGGTAGTGAATGCATAGTGTACTTCTTCTGAGGTGCTCTGCAACAAGGAGAGTTGACGTAAAACAGGAGGGTTAGGAAATTCCAGTGTGGCCATACCTCCCAAACAAACGTAGCTACTGCATGCTCAATGTTCAAGACATAATTGCCCCAGACACAACAGTTGAGACTCAGCAGACGCCTCACGAGACTCCTGCGGCATTACCAGCGACATTTGGACAGACTGCAGGAGAATTGCCTAGGAGAGAGGCAGATTGACCAGCGCATCCCCTGCGAACGAACAAACCATTTCTCATAGGAAACAACTTGGAGGCTACAACATACTAATTACACTCACCCCGGGGAAACCCGGAAGATCTAACCCTCTGCGTGGCCATGGTGGCCGCCTGCGCGCCACTGGTGGAGCAGAAGCGACGGAAGGGCCTCAAGAGGGCGCGGCCTCGGAAGGCGCGGGCCCATGGGTAAAAGGATCAGTATACATGTTGATTTCTTTGCATTGGAATCTTAGAGCTCGGAAGATATCCAAACTGATTGAAACAAGGAGCCAAAGTTTGTCGTGGTTCACTATTTGGAGGCCTTTTGGAACTTTGGAAGAGAATTTGGTGACTTGACTTTGTCCCAAAGCGTCATTCCTCCATGATCTCCAGTGCTGTCAGAAACCTGCTGCTGGTTTTGATCTCGCAGCGCTTTCTCCGGTCGAGGTGGAGGACAGTACCCAACGTCACAAGCGAATCGCTCGGTGGAACTGAAAGGGCACAGCCACGTAAACCTCCGGATAACGTCGGGGGTGTGCACTTGGCAGCCATCGGAATTAGGTGTTGATATGATATTCCTAAAGATTCTCTTACGTCTGTGGAATGACCCAAACGACGCAATATCAACAGATTCCCGAAGCCTCCCAAAGAGAAAGAACCTTCTTGGTGGCAATCTTCCAGAAAACTCACCATTCTCAAGGCCTTACACCCCTCAAAATGCTATGCGGGGGGGGTCCATGTGTGTGTTTGGGGGATTGGTGCACCTGCAAGTGGTTGGAACATGTTGGAACAACACCTTTACAACAGTTTCCCAGTTCCTTATGTGAGGTGAGCAGGTGAGGCCTTCAGCCTACCTAAGCCTCAAAGGCCTAGGTGGGCCCATCCGAAATCCCGTGGCGCCGTGGTGCCCCCACTCTTTGCCTCGGTGTTTCATGGGGATATGAATATGGATGTATACGGAAAACTGAAAGATGTATAGTTTACTGTATTTGTATATATATAGAGAGAGAGAGAGTAGAGAGAGTTATGTATATAACCTTCTTGGGGGTTGCACCTTGGATCCAGGAGTGGCTGAAGTCCATCGGCTTTGCCAAAGTGGCTGAAGCTGCGAGGCCGTCGACATGGGCAGTGTGATGTCAGGGTGACTTCCCCGGCGGAGGTCCAAATCCAAGGGATAAAAGCTAGGGTTGGATAAGAGCCTGAGATCTTACCATACTAGGCTTAGGATGGCTTAGGGCTCACACCTGGAACAATCAAGGGCTCGGAAACTGCAACTTTCTTCTCAGGCTGAAATGCAATATCATGGTACGAGGACCCTCCTGTTGTTGAACCGTGGTGGATGACGGGTAGCTTTGGTCCAGGTCTTGTTTAGATGGTCATTGAGCCATTTCATTTGATAACATGTCTATCGTCTTGCAAAAATCTAGTACTTTATGAGTTCAGCTCCTTTCTGAACCCACTACCATCTCCTTGTCGTGCAGAAACCATCTTCAAGATGAAGAACTAATCCTCGCCACGAATCTCCACATCTTTCAGTTTTCAGGTCAAACCTGGGGGCCCCCAGGCCACAAACGTGGCGCCATGATGCACGTTTGTTCGCCACCTCCAAATCAACATGAGCGGGTCCAATCTTGTCTCACCATCGACCGGGTCCGACCGGGTCGATTCCTTGAGTCGCTCAATTCGTCCAGGTCGCGGGGTGTCTGTGGCTTAGCCTTGCCACATTTGGGCCATAGTGGCTGGGAAGAGCTGGGCATTGCCAGTGCGGTCGACCGTGCAAAGATCATGGGCTCCTTGGTTTCGAGAGATGTGGAAGACCTGGGATTGAATTGGGGTTGATATGGGTTGACGTTGAAGACTGTTGTTGAATATTTTGGAATATTTGGAACATCGCCGTTTAGTTTGAGGCAGTTTTCCAAGACATGTTTGGTGCTCAATGTTCTTTTTCGCAACAGGACTCACTGGCTTGCTTGTTGGGCGGAAATGTTGGTTTGATTTTCCGAAATATGCCGTCCCTAAAGTTGCCCTAAAGCCGATCGCATGGCGCAGCTGGCCTCGTTCGAAGTCGATTTTGGGGTATTGCTGCCTACCCGAGGATACCTGGCCGAACTTGAAGAGAATGGCTACGAGAAGAATGCTGCTTCTTCGTCGCCACCGTGTGATCCCAAGCTGACGGTGGGCTGAGTCCTTGACAGGATGGTGCTTGACTGTGATGCAATTGCAAACTGTGAGCCGAAATTTGAATAGTTCCCCCAGACCTAGCAGTGAATTTGCACCCTTTCGGATGGATTATTTTTGTCCTTTGATGTCTCGTTTGAGTAGGTGCTACAAGAGTCCACTAGGAGTGTGCCAAGAGTTTAAGACTTATATACCATTTATATGGGAGTCGTTCTAAAACCCGTGTAATGTTTTTAGTGGACGAGTGACATTCTAGCTTTTTGAAGTTATGTTTACCTGCAGGGGCGAAAGGATGCGAGAGCGCGGCGAAAGGTTTGGCGAAAGGCTAAACTTGATAGAAATATATCATAGATAATTCATACATGTATGCACATGTTGTGCATATATCTTTGTGTCTAAAACAAACAGAGAGAGTGGTTTCCATGCAAGGCGTGATAGGCAGAAAGCTGCAAGAGTAGTGGCTCAGCATGTAATATCCCCAAGGATATGTATCACCAGCTTAGTGAACACCCCAGAATGTCATAGATGCGTACGAAAAGAAACAGACAGCAATAAGAAATCTTGCAGACGGATCACAAGAGAAGATCCAAGTAGCAAAATTCCCCAAACCGAACGAGGAAAAAACGCGAAAGCTTCGCGAAAGCGACGCGCAAGGTTGGCGAAAGACGAGCCTGCCCGAAACCATCGGGAGCCCAAATGGGCTAGTCCAGAGTCCACGCCATGTCGCATCTTGCTTTTCTTTTCCAGGAATGGGTGAACAACAACTGTCCCGAAGCCAAGCGCCCCAACCGCAACACCACCTTGCCCAATGCAAGTGCCAAACCTAGTATAAGCATATCGCACCATCCTAGTACTGCCCTATCCTGCCATCATGAGCACTTGCGTTTGCACGGGTTTGCTGCTCCCCGGCGGGCCTTTTTCAGTGAGGCCACCTGATTCCGCTGAAACGCATGGCGGGTCAGCGTGGCGACGCTTGAAGCAGCGCGTCCGGCGGATGGACATTGCAGTGCCGGTGGATCACAAGAAGCTGTGGTTTGAAAAGATGGCAAGGCCAGGGAGTTGGTGCGCGGTTGTTTGATGTTTTTGGGCTTGCGAAATTGTTGGTCAATGCCACGCCGTACCACTCTGGTATTGACTTTGGCTAAGTATACTCAAACAAAGCTGATTCGTTTCGCCTGGTTAGGGGGGCCAGCTGTGCTTGATGGATTTGACGCTCGTGCTCATGAATGCAGGTCAGGAAAGGCGCCAGAAGAGATCAAGGACTCACTGGCTGCGCAGATGGACTCCTGTTCCGTGCGTTTCAGTGTCCGTTGGTCACGTCGATCAACACTGCAGGGTTTTTCCTCCTCGTAGGCACAGGGATGTTAAAACCTTTGACTGCCTTGGTCGGTCGGGTGACATTGTTTGAGGCCAAAGGTCGGTCGAAAAGGGTCGCACACTTGCCGTGCCCGGTTGATACGCAAACACATGCAAACACCAAGGATTCCTACAACCTCCTGACGCTTCTTTTATTGGCCACCGTGATTCCCACCGCAACCGGGGTTTGCCAAGAGATGCGCTGGGATGATCAAGGGTGGCCCTTGAGCCGGACGCGCTTTGCATACCTGGCGCCGGGGCAAGCATGGTGGGTAAGAAAGACTGGGTGGAAATGAAGGCGAGTGAAGGGAAACTGTTTCGCTACTGAGAAGCCTCACGCCTCGCAAGGCAAGCAGAAAGAAGACAAACAAAACCATACAAAACACATTTTTGGCTTTCCACCCAATTCAGCTGCGAGCCTTTGGACTCTGTCGGTTCCCATCCTTAGGTCTTCAGCGCATTTTTCAGCTTTATGCTTTATGCTCACTTCGGTTGGTCGCACATTGCCAGTGTGATGGTGGCGGACGTGAGCAACGCGAACCTGCGCGTGTACATGGAGTCCATTGGAATTCCAGTCTTGACGGAGCTGGGGATGCTCTTTGCCATGAACTTCTTCTGCTTCTTCTTTTGGGTGATTTTTACCATGGTCGCCCTCATCTCGGAGGATGCACACTGGATAGTGTGGCTCATTGTCGGTTTCGGCGTGGGCTTTGCCAGTTGGCTGGCAGTTCACTTCATCTCCAAGGTCATGGCACGGTCCGGCTTTGAGCACCATCTCACTGCTTGCCCGTTCTATTTGAGACTTCAGGTCAGGGATCGCCCTTCCGATTTTGAGCAAGAAAAGGACACCACTCATCACATTTGTAGTCCGAACGCTTGACAGGAAACCAAACATGGATAACACTGTTTGGTAAACCACGTTTTTAAATGACCATCATATTATAAGATTTGAGACCAGATTGTGGAGTGGTTTCTCATGTTTTCATTCACGAGTTATAAAGACAAGAACGCAGACCTTCAGCAATGACTATCCCTGAGGCCCATGCGGGCCTTTTCTCGAACGATCCTATCCCTATCGATCCCAGCTTACCACGGAGAACGCTGCTGGAACTCTTGTCGCAGCGGGCTCTGCAGGAGCTAGATGGCAAACAGGAGGAAGCTCGGTTGGCGCCAGTTAGCCAATGTGTTGGATTACACTTCCCTTCTCTAGGGTGGAAGTGGATGGCATGGTCCCTTGCAAGACCAATTTCCTCTACAAACAGTGGAGTTCCACTTCCATGTTGGTTTCAGGGAGTGTATTTTTGGATTGATGCCCGGAAGAGATGAAAGGACGGGTCACCCGAAGGACGGGTCACCCGTTTTCCTTTTCGGCGACATGTGGGTTGGCACCTTATATAAAGACCGTTTGGGAGAGGAATATAGATCAAACATGACCAAGACCAAGGGGGGGTTCTCCATCCAAATGCACACCCATGTGGCAACCGATCATTCTATGAAGTCCTGCCCTTGTTCACACCAACTTCTTCTAGCTGGGCCTTGCCGTTGTTTTTCAGACTGTCGCCGTAAGGAAGCCAAAGATCATGGCGATGGATCTGAGCACCGCGAGGAAGCCGAAGATCATGGTGATGGATCTGAGCACCGCGAAGAGGGCGCGGCCACAGCTCGCGAGGCGGACGACGTCTTGTTTCACGCGGTGTCAGTGTGAAGCAACGCTGACCCGCATCGTGCTGGTGAAAAAAGAAGTCCCATCCAAGGTGGTGCTCCACACTATCATAAGTTTCCAAAGATACACTCACATGGAAGTGGAACATGGCCCCCATGGCACTCCCCATGGCAGACCGTTTTTTTTGTTTTTTTTTCATGAGTTCCATGCCCTTTCGGACCGCAAACCGGGGCTCCGGGAAGTGGTCCCACGTCTGAGACGGGCCAGGACAAGACCCAGATCCTGGAGCTTTGCACCAACCTGGCGGGCAAGGAGGGCCGCCACGGACCCGCCGAGGCGAGACATCGCGCTTTGGCGAGACTCGGGGGTTTGTAGACATTAATATTCCATGTTTGGATTGTCAGACCTCTTGATATGCAAGTTGTATTTTTGTTTTTTTTGCATATTTTTCTTCATCCACTGTCTACCTCATAGCATTATTAATTGTAGCCAGTTTCTGGGAGTGATGTGGAGAAGGGAGCTTTTCTCGATGACCCTCTCCCTTCCGGAGCGCCATTCACGGTTAGGACGACGTCCGTCCGCCCGGCCATTCATCCACAGACTGCCATGGGTTATGAAGATTCTGAATTGCAACAGGCCTAGGAGGACCCATCATCAAAGTTCTTCTTGCGATGTTTCGGCAAGAATTGATGATTAGGACATCTCCGGGTGAAGAAAGATGAAGAAAACTCTGTGTTCCTTGAAACTCCAGAGTTTCTCATTATATCATATCATATCATATCATCATTTCTCATCCACCACCCGAAAATAGAGAACACCTCACCTTTCGTGTCTTGGCCGTTGGCCGCTGTCCTCCTCTCCTCCACCCTGCAGGGTGCTTCATTTTGTCAGGTCATGGCCTTCTTTGTGGAGCAGTGCATGAAGAACATGCATATTGCCTGGAGCTCCGTGTCCTCCGTGTTCTTCGCCCGTCGAGCCGAGTAAACGCCATGGGGTGCTAAGTTTCAACGGTCACCGTCGCTACCATCGTTGGGTTATGCCCGGTATACCACATAGAAGAGGCTTGCGTCGCGTGGGCCATGGCCATGGCTCTATATCCAACCCTCCTATTTATCTTCCCTACATTCCCCTACCCATGGTCCCTCGGAATTGAACATGTTGACCAAATCCCGTGGTACTCACCCAAGTGTCCACGCTGCAGCACACACGGCACACGGTGTGCGTGGTGCTTTTTGCGGTCCGGAGGTCGTCGTGCCATTTTGGGGTGTCCGAATTCGGGTTCCGATCGGCCATGTTTCCCTCAAGCATACCGAACCCTAGGATAGGCCTATGGATAGGCTAGGCCCCGGGAGTTCTATGCCCCGAACGACCATGAACGACCACTCTTGACGCCGAGGTCCTCGCTTTCTCACCCATCGGCGAGAATTTCCGACGTCGTGCTGCTGGGCTCAACCGGTTTGTGGTGAATCGGACGGTTTCATGGACCGCGAACCTGAGGATGGTCGCCGAGCTATTGAACATGGGGTGCAAGATGATGCATGACTTCCAACCTTTTTGATACTGTTATGTATGACTTGAATGACTTGAGAATGTGTTTTTCTTCTGAACTTGAGGTTCGCATGTTCCCATCGCTGGTGAACTGCTGCACAATCGACTGGCCCCTGCCTCAGCATGCATTGTAACCAAGAGATCAGCCAGGACTATGTGGTCTTTTGCTGCAAACGGCCAGGCATTCTCTCCCAATATTATGCCATGGAAAGTGGCTTCTTAGGCGGAACAGTACCGGTTTGCTGCTTCCGTAGGCTGCCAGCGTGGGTAGGGTCCCATCTGCCCAGGTTGGGTCCCATCTCCCCTCTTTATCCTCTTTCAACACCCGCTCCGGGGATCGACTCGCCGCTCGCACGGAATGTCTCAGGTTCCATGAGTGGCCCGACGCCGCCCTGCAGAGCGTGGCGCACCACTTCCTCGGGAAGATCGGCATGCCGGAGAACGTCCTGAACGGCCCCGACCTCGCTCCGACCTCCGCGCCGACCAACGGCCGAAGGTCGACCGTGTTGGCGTGGGGCGTCACCGACGGTGAACGCCGTTTTTTTCGCGGGGGCCAAACTCGTACGTGAGCAGAATGGAACAGAATGGAACCTTTGCACCATCTGTTTGGGCGGGCGAAAAGTGAATCCTCCAAGGTGTGGTCAACATCTGTGTGGCCATGCAGAAGAGTGTCAAAGACTCAGCCATGCGCGACCATGCGACCTTCGCACTGCGGCGTCGTAGTTCCATGCGCACTCGGCCTGGATGAGGGCAGAACTTCAACAGTCAAAGACTGACCGCATTTCACTGGAGTTGGTCATACACAAACACGACTCAATGACTTACTGTATATATATATATTATATATATATATATTATATAATAATATAATATGCATATTAAAAAAATATATACACTTATATAATGGTTGTAAAGGATCGGCAGTAGGACCGGGTTTTACTGGGCTATTGAAGCTGTTCTGAAGAACTAGTGGAGTCTGCATGAGTCTGCACTTGTCATATCTTCATGCAGACCTTGTTATATAATATGGTCTTTCAGCTTTCACCTTTGTCGATACCGGCGCCATGCCAGCCATACCGGTGTTCCGGCAGCTGCAGCGGCGTCCGCGCACGCATAGTTCACTGAAGGTCTTCACGTTGGCCGAGAGGTTCCAGAAAGAAGTGCAGCGCTATTACTATGTGCGTGGCCCCAGACCGTCCGGGTGATTTTTTTCCTTTTTTATTTTCATTAATTTGTGCCATGTGCGGGGTAGGATTTCTAGTGGATTTGGCTTGGAAGATCGCTCACGCCACTGGGTGTGGAATCACCCACAAGAAGTTTCCGGTGGTTTTGGATGTCCACCAGTCTAGCATTTTGAACCTACGTTCCTTCAAGCGAGCAGGCTGAGCTGTTTGCATCATTTGTGACTCCTTTTTCCCCGTGGGGCATCTCGATGGAAGGTCCGCGCGTCCTTGGACACTCCGAACGGCTGCCGGACTGCGGGGCTCCGAAACGCCGCCCTGTTGAGGTCACTCCCACGTCATACCTGGAACTCATCAATGCCTTCAAAGGCCCCGATGAGAGTGAGCCCATCAAAAGGACCAGAATCACCTGCCCTGAGTGGAACAAGGACGGCCAGAGGAAGACTCCCGTCTCTCTCCAAAGCCCACTTGTGCATTCATGTTTTTAGTGTACTTGAGAGTGTGTGTTTGCATTGTCCTTGGCTGCTCGTGGCGCCATTTTTTTGTGTTGGGGGGCGTGAGTCAATGTATATATAGTCCCACTTCTGATTTATAATCGCAGTTGGCCATCGGCTGCAGAATAGTTGGCAGATCTTGCCCAAGCACGCGGTGTAGTCGTAGGGCTGGAGATCGAAGAATGCGCACCTGCTATAAACACCAGCCTGACAGTGCCTTCGCCAAACCTTCTGTGTTGATGTCAGTCCTAGTGGGGCCTTCATTTGGGCACAGACACTGGTCTCATGCAAAAATGGATTTTTTCGCCATGTGTTCAGTCGCCACGAGCGAAGCGTTCCGACCGAGGGTGTCCGGTGTGTCCTTCTGCCTCCAATGCTCGGAAGAAGTGGTTCAAGTGGAGTTAGCAGATGTAGAGCTCATGGGAAGCATGTAGCCTCATAGAGAGTTTACCGTATACCTCATACAGCTCTACACTCTACTTCTGAGCTACTCCGCTCATTGTTTGGTCTATAGACTGTCGAAAGAGCATGGTTTTCATCGCGGAGTTGGAAGTACTCTAGAGACCAAACAGTTCTTCGCTCCAGGCCTCCTCTCAATCAAGCAAGACGAGGTCTCCAAGATCAAGTCGAGGCGTGGGGAGATGAAAGACCCGGACGGGAACCCGTTCCGAGTGACAGACCATGCACACCCCAGCAGATCCCGGCAGCATGCTGCATCCAGCACTCACAGGACTTTTCCAGGTCTAGGGGGTGCCAAACTCTACGCGTTTTGGATGCCCCGCGGTGACATAGCTCCCATTTTCCAGGTTGTAGAGGAAAGACGGCAAATCTCCGTTTCAGAAACCTGTTCACTGTTCATCGTTCACCCAGCCCTTTTTTTTTGTCCCTCTTCTTCTTCTTGTCAGAGCCAAGAAAACGTGAGACAGACCATGTCTATCCTGCGAGGTATGATGTGGGCTTAGATAAGATCATGAGCACTGAGGAGCAGGTCACCACCATGCAGGCGCTGCCCTGGGCTGCCAGGATGGCGATGGGATGATGGGTCATGCTGTCATGGCACCCGGTCCCTGAGCCCATGCGTCTAACCCGAAGAGTAGGTGGACCGGTTTAGGGTGGGTCAAGCAAGAAAATTCCTGGGTCCCATGACTCATCTCCACATGGGTTGAATGAATGTGAGCATATGTGAGCCATGACCCTCCCCGGTGACTGTTCACCTGTTTATCAAGTTGTCGTTGTGCTTTTGTCAGGTGAAGTGTTGTAACACGGTAGCAGTCGTCATTCCATGGGCGGCTCACAAAAGTGGAGATGTCGCGCAATCACACAGACAGATGCTTGGCATCACCTCTGAAGCACACAGAGCCTGCCAAGCTCACCAAGTCTCCATCACTTGGGTATACCAAGGTAGACACCTAAGGTATACCTGGCTTCTCCCGCCCCGTCACCGCCCCACCCCGTTTCACACCGTCAAAAACACCCCTTTCACGTGCCATGCCTCGCGGACCGTCGACCGACCGGACGGAGCCAGGCGGAGCTGGAAGAGTTGAAGCCCACGCTGAAGAAGACCGCCGAAGACACCGACCGGGAGACCCAGCCGGGAGGAAGAGAGCGGTTTAGGTGGCACCAGGTAGATGACCAGGTGATGACCATGTGAGATAGGGGGAAGAGATGGTGTGACGTGTTTTGTTTAATGGTATATATTTGGTGACACCCACATTTATTTAGCTAGCGGCATTGTTTCCAAGGCACTTTCTACGGGGGGCATCTACTTTTTCCCATATTATGGAGTTCTATCATGTTCTCACAGTATGAAATCCTGCAGGTGTAAAAGAGATCCCTTTTTAAACCGGAGCTT